GACTGTAGTGGGTACCACATTTTCGCCATTTTATATTGCGACAGTCATGATCATGCGAATAGTTCGACCGATTGTGAGAAAATACACTGCTTACTATGGCCGATTGCTAAATTCGCTTTCAGCTATTTATCTTCGGATCCAGTGCTTTGCGAAATTCGCAAGATATCAAAACCATGAAAGAACACGGTTACATTAACTATTCTTGAAGTTATGGTTCAATGGAGCCCTACAAAAATATGAATGTGGTTGGTGCAAGTACTGAAAGCAATTTCGACGTTTTTGTAATTTGGTAATCTCAAGAACTGTATATTTTTCTTCAATTTTTTTCAAGACTGTAAACCCATTATGATTAAACAAGAGCTGCCGTGATAAAACGTGCAGTGCGAAGTGAAGACAAATAATTTTTTTTAATGTGCACAAAAAAGATGCTATGCAACATGGATCGCACAGTTTCCTTTCGCACATTGGGGAGTTTCAGTAGACCGTTTCCGCAGCCCGCTAAGCACTCGGATAGCGCTCCGTAATCCGCCACAAGACCTTGAACTATGCAGACAAGGCTGGCGGCGCGCATGCGCAGCTGCGGCGTTTTTTTTACGAGTTCTCCTAAACACCCTCGGAATGACTTGACCATTTCGAGAAAAACCCGGTTGTTGTTGCGTTTTTTTTTTTTTTTTCATCTTTTTTGCTTGCAGCCAGTGTAAAAATCACAAACTCGCGAGAAAAAAAATCTTCAACATGCGCTACTTAGAGCTTCGCAGCTCTAAAAATTCACACTAAATGTCGTCCAACCTGGGGAGAAACTAATCCTTTTTGTTGGAAGTATGACTATCGTATGCTGGGCAGCTCGTTTCCTGTTTGTTTTGTCTGTGCTCCGTTTGAACGCGTAATTGGCGAAGTTCAAAGGTCAGAGCTGCTGTGAGGCAATCACAGTCGCGGAGCTAAGCACGTGACAGCTATTTTTAGGAGCAGTACCCACCACCGTACGTTTTCACGTGCCTCGCTTCAACACTCTCATTGGCTCACGGGAGCTTTAGTTTGCTTCGTTTGCCAAGTTATGGGGAAACGGCGCCTCCCTTACGTATATTCGCGGTGCACGCAGGCGAAACGCTTGAAAGAACATCGGATTGGAACACGTGTTATTGCTTACGTGCCCACGAGAGTGGATCCGGTTTTCGACTTAGTTGGGTCTTGCTGTGTGACGATTCCTAGGATAAAAAAACCATTTACCTCAGTTGTAGAACTCCTACGGAAGGGGGTAACCCCCCCTCCCCCTCACTCACTTCGATCCGCCTGTCGTCGTTCGAAGCGCCATCTAGATTTTCGTTTCATAACTGTGCGTTCCAAAGAGCAGAGCTGAAGCCAGCTGAAGCGACTTCTGTTGGCGAACCTCGCGCATGCGCAGAAACGTCAAAGGGTTCGAGAGTACAACGACCTGCTCCAAAACAATGTTCAGACCACAGTGAATAAGCATACAGTGGTCCCACTCAAGGCCCCTTCCGGTAATAGGACGTTAGGCAGCGCCCCTCACCACATATCGCTAACTAAACACTTTTTATGTTTCTGGATTCTTGTTACAGAACGCCGTGTAAAAGTAATCGTTATAAAACAAAGGAATTACACCAGTAATGCTAGTTTTTAAAACCATAAGAGACCCATTTTTTTCGGGAAGGAATAAAATACTGCTTGACCGAAAACCGTTACACGGTTACCCAGGGTTACGACCAATGAGAAGAGTCGAGGCCATCGAGGCGTTGGGCGACGGGCTGCTGTCAGGCTGCTGCGGAGATTGCAGAGTACACTTGCGTTTTTGGCGTTTAAATTCGAAGCATCCGAAGCTGATAATAAAGCACCCGCTGAGAAGCTGGTAAGTTGTATATTCTAATTTTTGTTATTGCAAATAGCATTGTGTTATATTTTATACTTCGCTTCTCTGAAAGTCGTCGTTTCCGTGGCAAATATCGCTGAGGAACTCGCCGTTACACAGAGTCATATAGTGGTGAATTATAAACGTATGTAACGTTTTGTGAGGTGCTGATTTTCCTCCTTGCATCAATGAAGCTAGTGCCGAATCGTCTTTCTATTCGGAATCATGAACCACCGTTACTAGATCAACTCGGTTATGGAATTTCTCATAAACGCTGTACGTTAAAGAGGGTCCGAAACCGTGTCCGATTTTTTTTTTTGCAGCTAGGTGGCGCTACCGGCGCAATAATCCGCGCGTTTTCGTCTGCTACTGCTCCACGCGTCTGCTTTTGAGTCCCGAGTCCTCTCGAGGTTCAGCATGGTTTTGGGTTAGTTTTTGCCCTTTCGCCAGTAAAAAGTAAAAATATGACTACCAACAGCAGCAGAAACAATTTCAAAGTTGTCTGCTGCTGTTATCCGTAAGAAAGGCCAGAACCGCGCCGTCAATGATGATGATAGCGAGTATTAATGCGAAGCGCGCTCCCTCTGACGGGCGCCACGCAAAGGGACCCCCTCGGGTGCGGAAATCTACAACCAAGGAGGTTAGAAGTACTAGGAGGGGGCACGTTGCAATATTGGTGAAGCCTAGTCATAAAAAGTTTAAACGATTTTGTGCCCAGCGTGACCGCAGATCTCTCTGGCGATTGGTGCGCGTGACATGTCACGTGTGAGATGGATGGTTGATTCTAGAACGACTCCTTGCAGGCTTGCGCGCGCTCCGTCCGGTAGGTTTTATCAGATCGAAGGCTAGACTGTGGTGTGTTCTAATCCCCCATAGCAAGACGAAGGCTAGCTGCGGTCACGTGATGTGGTCACGTTGGCATGGTAAGTGAGGAGAGTAAGGAGGATAATGAGAAAGAGGCGAGGCGTCAAGGGAGCATGGCTTGTGGAGGCTACGCGGCCGACATCATGCCCTCTCCTACCCTCCTATCCTCCTTGTCTACAACTAAGTTGGATCCAGTAACGTTCTCATGAACAACAAAGTAACCGCGGCTTTGCACATGTAGAGAGAGGCTCGAAAATGATGCAGCCCAAACGAAACTGAAGAAATCGCTGAGCGCACTCCGGCGTCGCAAGTTTCGATTTAGAATTTACTGATCGCGTTCATTTTAATGTGTTCTCAAGTAGTTCCCTTGAAATAAGGGCACCCAACTAGTGCAAACATATGTGATTGTTCTGGTAGGTACAAACTCTAGTTCAGTTCGTGTTAGAAAAAAACATTCCTCGGTGAATTGCTGCGTTGAAAACGGCACTACGTCTCCTTGTCAATCGGTGTTCGGGAAAAATTAACTGTTCTCATCAGCTAAAAAAAACATGGGGATGTTGTTGTTTAAGCTCTCTCCCATGTCCGCACAAAACTAAAAGAATTTTATCATTTAAGAAACCTTGTACGACTCGTCATATGCGCCATTCCCTTGTCAGTAAAAGAGCTCCGAGCGCTATTAAAAGCCTGTGCTTTATTTAAGCAACAGAACTTATGACACGGAGAACAGTCAGACGCTTTCAATTCTGTAGAATTTCTTAATTGCTGTAGGTAATGCTGTGTGCATGCAGTTTTGAGTTTGTATTGTTTACTTTTGCAGTACATATATGATTTGATGAGCTCTATTTTTCATGCCTGTTGATGTCCTTGTGACCTGTCAAAGTGTGTTGCAATAAGCTGTGTGTTCGATCATCGCGTTTCACACTTGCCCTAAAAGCTGCCATCCACAATATTTCTGTCATAACATGCCAATACTCCGCAAAACAAAAGTGTCGTCGGTTTTGTTTTGTTTGGAAATCGACTGCCATCTGTGCGAACTTTGTTGTATGGCTGTATTATGTGCTATGTTTGTGACTTTTTGATTGAATTATACCACGCAGAGTTCCAATAAACAGACCCCCACGTGAAAAAAAAATGCTTTCTTGTCTGAATGTGATCGCCTGGAAATTTTGTCCTCTGACGGGCGCTTCAAATTAAAGCAATACCAATATGCAACGCGAGGAACAAGGAAACCAAAATACCATGGGGGCCGCCATTTTTGAAAGCAAAACCAGGGGGGTGATGCTCTCGGCTACTTCCGTGCTGCCGCGTATATTTATGTCGTACGTCCAGCCCGGCAAACTGCTTCCGATTGCCGCGCTCCCAGCGGCTGTGGGCGGACGTTATTTTGTTTTAAATAAATATGATTCATATAATTTATAACGTTAAATAACGACGAAGTTGTTTTCAAGGTATGACCAAATACTTGGTATGACTGACTTTGAGGCTTGTTATCGTAACTTTCTCTTTCACTCTTTAAACGTGTCTGGGCGCGCTTTCGCTCTCTCCGAACTCGCGCCTCGCGCCTCGAGATGCGCTGGCCGCTGGTATGGACCGTATGGTGCCATACCGCTGGCGCCGAGAAGTCGGTGGACCGTTAGAACGCGCGAGAGACGCGAGCCCGCGGGCTGTTTCGCTTCTGGGAGTACGTCGCGCCGCGAGATTTGTGCTGCATTCGTGTGCGCGCGGCTTTCTTTTCTTTTTTCGTGGAAACTCGTTGTTTTTGTAATGCGGTCAAACATGGATATTCGTCAATACCACACCACCTGCTGTGCCAAGTGGGGAAACAATACGCCTCGCAAGTGGGCTCATTTTCGTCTTCTGCGCACGAGAAGGAAAGTAGCGGTGACGTCAGAACGCCGAGCCCTCATTGGCTGATCGCGACCCCCTATCTGAGTGTCGTCTGCTCCTTTGCAACGTCGTCTGCTCGCAACGTCGTCTGCGTCTCTCTTACCTTTCGTGCGACTTCGCCTTTCAGAGAGGGCAGATGAAATAACTCGAGCGGTACGTTGTTTCTGTTTTAGCCTCAAGGGAAGTACTCAGTTCTGCAGCTTGCATGTTTATTCGATGATGCCAAGAATACAACAACCCCGTAGGCACACTCATGGCTGCTTTTATACTGATAGCAGCCGCGCTATCTATAGGTTAAAGAGTGACGTCACAGTTAACCGACACATGACATTAGATTCGGACATGATGACACAACATTCCTTCCCCTTTAGAAAGTTTGTGGAGTCTACGGCTTGTAGCGCTCTGGGGGTCGGCTTGGCCGTGTGCTGCGCCGAGGCAAGAGTGGAGAAGCCGGCGGAGCTTCCAGTCTGGAGGCCCGGTTGTCCGATAGTGGGGCATTGGGACCAACAGTCACAGCACTGGGCATGCTGCGGCCTGGGTCAGGTGCCCGTGGTGTCGCGGCTCCGTTCTCTGCTTGTGCCGGGTCATGGTCGTCAGGTGATTCATTGTCAGTTGTAGCCGTATCGGTCTCGATGTCCGAAAACTGCTCCAGTCGGTTAGGTGTCCTCAGGTCAGCCTGAAATGATCTTGGCCGCAGGTTGTCAGCATGAATGTACCGCTCTTCCCCCCCAACCCAAACCAGATACGTAGCTGGGCTCACACGCTTGCTTATTGTGCCCGTCAGCCATTTGGAATCTCCGGCCCGTAAGCCTTTTATTATAACTTGGTCACCCTCAGTGAACTCTCTCCAGGGCCCCCGGTGCTGGTCTGCGTATTCTTTGGTTCGCTCGAGTCTCTTTTTCATTCGTTGCTCTATGTCGGGGTGCAGCAGACTCAGTCTTGTTCTGGGCCTCCAGGACAGGAACAGCTGGGCCGGAGTTTCATCGGTTGTCCCAGTGGGTGTGTTCCTGTAACTAAATAGGAACTGATCGACGCGATGTTGCAGAGACTTCGCATGGCCGCTTCTCTGCTCGTCCAGCACTTGTTTAAACAAAGCCTTTTTCACGGTTTGTACGCAGCGTTCCGCGCTGCCATTGGAGGCGGGATGGTAGGGCGGAGACTTGCTGTGTAGGACGCCATTCCTACTCAAAAAGAGTTCGAAATCTGCTGATGTGAATTGAGGCCCATTATCGGTCACTACCTCTTCCGGTAGCCCGTATGCCGCAAACACACTGCGCAGTTTTTCCACGGTCTTCTCACTACTAGTACTGTTCATCACAAACACTTCAATCCATTTAGAATGGGCGTCCACCAGCACAAGAAACCATTGCTGATCGCGATACGCATAGTCTATATGCACTCTCTCCCATCTACGCTTAGGCCAACCCCACGACAACAAGGGTACCTTGGGCGCAGCATTTTGCGACAGCTGACACGTGACGCACTGTTTCACTGTTTGCTCTACATCTTGTGTTAGACGAGGCCACCAAACGTGGCACCTGGACAACATTTTCATTCGCGTCATCCCCGGATGACCTTCGTGCAGCATCGTCAAGACGCTACTTCTGAGTGACAACGGAACCACTACGCGATTACCCCAAGTTACACAATCTTGATCGACTGACAGTTCGTTACGTCGAACATAGTAAGGCGCTAGCAAATCGTCTGTAACTTTCGAAGGCCAGCCGTTTTGTGTGTAGAACAGCACTTTCGACAACAACTGATCCCTTCGCGTTTCCCGTCTTATCTCTTTTGCAGATAGTGGAGCTTCGTCTAGCGCCGAAAAGAACTGCACGCACTCTGACTCATCTTTGTTTGGCAGCGGTAGCCGTGAAAGCGCGTCGGCATTTCCTATATCACTGGATTTTCGATACACCCAAACATAGTTATAAGCGGCAAGCAGCAAAGCCCAGCGCTGCACGCGTGCTGCTGACATTGCAGGAATCGGCTTACCATGTCCCAGAATTCCCACCAGTGGTTGATGGTCAGAGTAGATGCAAAATTTTCGGCCGAAGAGGAACTTGTGAAATTTTTTTAAACCAAAAACCACTGCAAGCGCCTCTTTTTCAATGTGCGCGTAGCCTTGCTCCGCCTTGCAGAGCGTCCTAGACGCGAAAGCGATGGGCCTCTCCTCAGTACCAACTTTATGAAAGAGTATCGCGCCGACGCCGTATGCCGACGCGTCACATACAAGACCGAGGTCCTTTTCGGGATCGTAGTAAGTCAACACTCGTTCGTGCGTTAGCCACCGTTTTGTTTCTTGAAACACTTTTTCCTCCACTACGGTCCAATCCCAACTGGTGCTGTCACTTAGTAACTGGTGAAGTGGCTTCAGCTCTGCTGACATGTTCGGAACAAATTTCCCGTAGAAATTTAGCAGCCCCAGGTACGCTCGCAGCTCTTGTTTGTTCTGGGGTTTTGGCGCCTCTTTGATTGCGCGTAGGTTTTCCTCGGAAGGCCGAATCCCATGTTTATCAATTACGTGGCCCAAGTAAGCCACCGACGTCTGAAGAAACTTGCATTTTTCTTTTTTTACTTTGATACCGCGCTCCTTGAACCTTGTCAGCACGCTTTCCACTTTTCGATAACATTCTTCCGAAGTTTCTCCGGCTATCAACACATCATCAAGATAGCATGATACTCTGTCAAGGCCCTTCAATATTTCGTCCATTACAGCCTGAAAAATAGACGGTGCACTCGTGATGCCGTATGGAAGGCGTGTATACTTAAACAAGCCCATATGCGTGTTTACAGTTACAAGAGACTGCGAATCCGGGTGCAGTTGCAGCTGCTGGTACGCTGTAGAAAGATCAAGTACCGTGAAATATTTGCACCCGTGTAGCGTTGCAAACACGTCTTCCATTACCGGCAAGGGATAGTGGTCTGTTCTGAGATTCGGGTTCAGCGTCACTTTATAGTCGCCGCACAACCTCACTTTGTTGTTCGGCTTAGGGACAACGACCAACGGTGTTGCCCACTCACTCTGCTGAACAGGGACCAGGACTCCCGTTTTCACGAGCGCATGCAACTCTTGTTCTACTGACTCCCTTAAAGCGAATGGTACAGTTCTATGTTTACAAAAGACTGGGGTCGTGTCGTCCTTCAATACTAATTTAACTTGACTGCCCGCGATTAATCCCAGCTCAGGCTCAAACACCTCCGAGAATCGGTGAACCAGCCCTGCCACTTGGTCTAGACTAACCCCATACACGCTCATCCAGTCTAGCCTCAACGCTTCTAGCCAATCGCGGCCCATTAACACAGTCTCGCATTTCTGCGGCGTGCGAACCACTACAAGCGACAACGTCATGGTCTGCCCATTGTGCTCCACAGGTACAATCAACTTGCCTAATACCTCCAAAGGCACGCCCCCATAAGTTTTCAACTTTAGGCGGCAGTTTGAGAGAGACAATCCAGGCCAGTACTGCTTATACACCTCTTCAGGCACAATGGAAACCGAGGCTCCCGTATCAACTTGCATTGTCACCATTGTTCCCGCCACTCGAACTTCAGTAGTGTAACCCCCTTTTCTAGCACTGCAGGAGCCAATGTTGTACAGCCAAACTTTTTCCTCACCACTACTGTCGTCCACGGCTTGCACCAAACGGGACGTTGCTTTGCAGGCCCTTGCCAAGTGTCCCACTCGTCTACACGCTCGGCACTTGTTCTTCCGAAACGGGCAACTTGACTCGTGATGGGGTGCTCCGCAGCGGAAACAGCCTGACGCCTCGGGCCTCTCAGTGTTGACTTCCATCGTCGCCTTCCTGGTAGCCGCTCCGACGTTCCTGTTTGGGCCTAGACGTTGGACGGCGTTCACCTCTAGTTGTTCAGAGGCTGCTGGCTGAAATATCTTGGTCTCTGCTCGTGCGAGTTCAATGCTTCTGGCAATGTCGCATGCCGCCGAAAAAGTTAGAGTTTTCTTTTTTAGAAGCTCTGCTTGGGCTGCCTGGTCCTTTAGCCCCGCGACAAAACGGTCCCGGAGTGCTTCATCCAGGAACTGCCCGAACTCGCAGGTGGCCGCGAGCCTTTTTAACTCAACCGTGTATGTCGCCACCGTTTCCTTCTCGAGCTGGGCCCTCCGGTTGAATCTGAATCGCTCGGCGATTACCATCGGCTTCGGAGCGTAATGCTCCCTGAGGACCGCGACCAGATGCGCATAGTCCTTTTGTTCTGGCTTCACTGGTGTTAACAGCGTCTTCAACGTGCGGTACGCTTGCTTCCCGATGGCCGTTACGAAGACCGAGACTTTCAAGTCGTCGCTCACCTTCGTTGCTCGAAGATAGTGTTCCATCCGCTCGACGTACGACTCGAAGTCTTCCTCCCCATCTTCTATGAACTGCTCGAACCGGCCGCCGCACGAAGCCATCCCGTGGTCCTCGGTCAAGGCGCTTGGGTTTTTGCCGATGACAGTGCTGGCTTCTGTCTTCTCGGCCATCCCATCCTCGTCGCCACTGTTTTAGCCTCAAGGGAAGTACTCAGTTCTGCAGCTTGCATGTTTATTCGATGATGCCAAGAATACAACAACCCCGTAGGCACACTCATGGCTGCTTTTATACTGATAGCAGCCGCGCTATCTATAGGTTAAAGAGTGACGTCACAGTTAACCGACACATGACATTAGATTCGGACATGATGACACAACAGTTTCTGTCTTAAAACTAGCAGACGCGCATCAAGGAGGGAAGTCAAGGGACTCACTGGCGAGGTGTCCCGAGGCGCCGAGGTTTGTTTGGTAAGAACCAAGAGTGCGTGTTAGTGTCCGCAAGTTTCCCCCCCCCCCCCCCAAATACTTTTTCCCTCCTTCCGTGTGCGGCGAGACCCCTCATTCTTTAACGGCGTCGGCGGGTTGGCGCAGTTAACGTCGTCTGCTTTACGTCTGCTAGCTAGTCAAAGCGATGGCTGCTTTACCTTTCTTGCGTCTGTCGGAGATTCACCGCTTTTTCACCGGCGAGAGTCACCGTTGCCTCGGGAAACAAGGAGATAACAAGAGGAAGAAATTGACCTCTCTATATTAAATTGAGGTCAAAGATCAAAGTATAAGACGGGAAGGGTTCACAAGGGTCGCGCGGGCATATTCCATTCAGCACACCAGCCGATCGTGGGCAGACGGTCGCCGAGTCGCGGAGTGCCTGCTAGGCCTAACTGCCGTGCTCGCTTGGTCGCGTTCGGTGGAATCGTGGCCGATGGAGCTTTTCCCGGGTGTTCGTGGATCCAGCGTTCTTGTTCGTCGTGGTCTGTTTCAAGTACTTTTTACTTTTTTCTTGCTGCTTGAAATCGGAACGCGTGAGAAGCGCACGTAGAAAAATAAACGTCCGTGGGTCGTCGCGACCGCGACGCTGTCGGCCATGCTGATTTGATCGTAAGAAGTGCGTAAGACAGCTTCGGAGCTGTCGTAGGATTTCTTCGTAACCTGCGCAAAGCTTACGAAAATTTCGTTTCGTGAATACGAATTTGTTCTTAAGTTATGTCTTACGCACATTTTTGGCGTAAGATCGTCTAGTGAATCTGTCCTCTGCACTACCGAAAGTCGTAGGAAAGGCAAGACAGACGCAGACGACGTTGCGAGCAGACGACGTTGCAGAGGAGCAGACGACGCTCAGATAGGGGGTCGCGATCAGCCAATCAGGGCTCGGCGTTCTGACGTCACCGCTACCCCCTGCGCAAGAAGCAGACGAACTTGCCCTCCGCATTACTGCCGAAAGCCGGGACACCAATGGTTTCGACTTCCGATGGACGTGCGGTACGCTCTTTTGGTCTTCTCTTGCTTAAGTTTCTGATTAAATGTTTGCAACACCAAACTGTCGCAGTGGTAGCGAGTATTAATTGTTTGATTTTGGCAATAGCTGCGATGGTTTCAAATCGCAAAGCCAAATACTATCATTGTTTAGGATTCCTCTTCACTCGCCGCAAGAAATATGTCATTGTCAAATAGCTGGAGACTTCTATGTAATATCAAGATCAAGCACATATGCTCACTTCAAAAGATGGTAAACTTCTTGCTGTGAGCTGTTTATTTGGCATTGTTGTCAGCGATTCACCCGTCTGTTCGCGAGGATTGAAGATGAGCCTAAATATTTTTCGATTAACTGAGCATGAGCGATGGAGCGATCCGCACTGGTTTCCCGTTTCGCTTAGCAGTGACGCACTCCTAAATTGAAGTGATACTATTTAAAACTAATGGCAGGTTCTCGATGAAGACTCATTACGAAAGAGCTGAGCTTCTGTTGTTCTTGACCTCATTGCTTAGTTTCCTTTAGTTGCAAGACACCGTCGTCGGTCTTTACTTATGCTATACTTATATAATCAAATTCGAAATGATTGTCAATTTAGCGTGGAGGCATTTAACTGGAGGAGAAGAAAAACAGAGGAGACGCGACTATTTAGTGTCGCAGTGTTGAACTCGAATATTCTCGCTGTTTTCATATGACCATGTCAGGCACGTAACGGCTAATCAAGC